CCTAGAGAACGACGTTGGCACACGCTCGACGTTCGTAGGGCACTCCGCAAATATATTGACAGGACCGCATCATTCAGGCAGTCTGAATCACTATTTGTATCATTCCAGCCTACTCCCATGGGAAAGAAAGTTACCCCATCTACAATTGCGAGATGGATCAAGCTTGCATCGCAATGGCTTACGAACACCAATCTACTCCAGTGCCTAGAAACATCACTGCGCATTCAACTCGTAGCACTGCCACCACAGCAGCCTGGGCTACTCAGGCTTCCATATTGGAGATCTGCAGGGCTGCAACTCCCACTACCTTTATCAGAAATTACAAGTTGGACGTTTTTGCCTCAGCCGAGGCTTCGTTTGGCAGAAGAGTCCTGCAGCAGGTTCTACCAGGAGAACGACACCTGGACCGCTCGAACTCCCGCCCTAGGGATACTTAGCTTGGGTATATCCCATTGCTTGGACTCTCCAAGCAGCGCACAGGAGATTGAACATTGGAGCTTACCTGAATGTTCGAACTATGTGCGCTGCAGGAGAGTCCAACCCCGCCCTACTGTAGCGGTCCAGCATCCAACACTTACTTGTAGTGGACATTCTTCTATCATCTTGCTACGTCTTCTACAGACCTCTTCGTCGAAACCCTGTAGGCTCATGGGAGAAAGAGGCGTGGCTAGGCAAATTCAACTCAGTCTCTGACCAACCAGGCTAAACTTGAACCCATTGCTTGGACTCTCCTGCAGCGCACATAGATCGAACGTTCAGGTAAGCTCCAATGTTCATTCCACGCCAGACTTTTGCTATAGACTTTTGCTATAGACTTTGCTGGATTAGACTTTGGACTTGATTGACTCTGTAATTATTGAGCTGTTTCCTTTGATGTACCAGAAGCGGGGAGAAGTTATCACTCCTCTTCGTAAGTAATAAACTCTTGGCAGGCAGCCACTAGGTTGTTGCCAAGTTCCGTTATCATAAGGAAAAGGATTTTGCCGGCTGGTTTGGTCTTTAACTCTTGGACGTCTGTTGGTGTGTGTGCGTGTGTGATGGGGACAGAACAGTCTGGGAGAGGTGATCTGAGCCACGCAGAGGCACATCAGGCCGAAGTCCTAGCACAGAGGCAATGACGGAGGGAGGGGTCAAAATGGGAAGCCTCTGCCTACCACTGCCTGTCTGTTGCCAGCTCTGCCAGCTTAAAAAAAAAACCTGTGGAGCAGCAGCTTCCCTTTTTGTCCACACTCCCTTTCATTGCTTCTATGTCTGGACTGACTCTATGCCTGATGCCGAAAGGGCAATTCTGCTTCCACGCCCCCCAACACTAGAAGCCACACTCCCCACGTGCCCCAACAATGCCAGAAGCCACACACCACTGCCGTTCACCTGCCGCATCCCCCCCCCCAAAAAGCCCCTGCAATCACCTATCGCCAGAGATGAGCTTCAGCCAGTTCCGACCGGTTCAGGTTTTTAAGATTCTGCATAGTTCGGTGAACCGACAAATCCCATCACTGGCTGGCCCCGCCCGCCCCACCCTGCCCAGTCACTCCTCATCTTGCCTGGCATAGCTGCTGCTGCTGCTCTCTGTCTGGCTCCCTTGCTTGCCTCGACCACACAGTCTCTACAGGCCAGCCAGCTTGCCTGCCTTTGCCACCGCAGCTGCATCCCATGCAGCGCTCTCCCCATGGCCCAGCTGAGTGGCCCTGATCTGCTTGAGCCTGCGAGCAAGGCCTGAATCCCAGCCTAGCTGCCTCCCACATGGGCCAGCCAGCTTGCCTGCCTTCCGCTGCAACCTATCACGTGGCTGCCACAGTCCAGCTCTCTGCCTCAACTGCCTTCCTTCGCCAATCTCCGCTCCTCACTCACCTAGACTAGACTTGCCCAGCTACCTTGGCCTGCTCCCGTCCGCTCCAGCAGCAGAAACCCCTCGGGGAAGTGGGGCTAGGATGGGTGCTCGTCTCCAAAGCCTCCCGTTTCTCTAGCCCTCCACCTCTCACCCTCAATCCATTTCTCTCCTTCTGCCTCCTACTGCTTTCTCAAGGCCTGAGACAAAGCACACAGCCCTCCATGACGGAGCCCTTCCTGGGGAGGAAAGCCTTGGATGACCTGATCTGTCCTGAAGGCCTTGATGAGCCAGACTGTCCACACACCTCTGCTGGCCCGACTGCCCTGCCTTTCAGGTCCAAATGGGGCTAGCGCCCAGTGGTGGGGCGCTCCAGGAGGGCAGGCAGATGTCCCGGGGCTGCATGTATGCACCGCAGAGGAGCAGCAGCCTCAGCCCCAGCGCGGCATCTCCCCTGAGGGCTGCCTGCCGTCAGCCTTACTTCCATGGGCAGCCGTGTGCTGGACCGTTGGGATCTGAAGGGCAGGGCGTTCTGGCCGGCGGAGGCACATGGAAGGTCTGGAAGGTAAGGCCAATGCTGATGACGGGAGAGGGAGACCCACTGCGCTCGGCCGAAGAGCTACCTCGGGCATAAATGGCAAGCCTCGCTTGCCTCTTGGGCCTGGCACAGTCGGCTTCCGCAGGGCCTCTGAATGATTGCCACCTGCTTCCCTTCCCCTCTGCCTTGAGTCCCACATCCAGCCCATGACGGGGGAATGCACCACTACCGGGCCAGCCAGTGGGTGGGTGTGCGGCCCTCGGGGGAGATGCCGTGCTTGGGCCAAGACTGCTGCTCTGCTGCGGTGCACACGTGGAGCCCCTGGAGAGCCTGCCCTCCCAAAGCGCCGCTGCCACCGCTCTGGAGCTTGCCTTCTGCCACCGTTGGAGCTCGTCTTGCCTTCTGCCACCACTGGAGCTCGTCTTCTGCCTTCTGCCACCATGCCACACGGAGCATGCCTTCAGGACAGATCAGTTCGTCCAAGTCATGCTTTGCTCCATGGGAAGGGCTCGTGTCGTCCCCTGAAAGTGCCCTGACCAGCCGCTTTCTCTTGGGCGGTGGCCTTGCATGTGACAGTGAGAGGAGGAAGTGTGTGGCCGGAAAGGCTGCCTGCAGTTCTTGCAGCCAAAGCCGGGATATCTGCGAACCCGCAAGAGCAGAAGGTTGAACTATAAAACCTCCAAGGTACCTTCTTCTAGCCTATGATTCTAAACTCTCTAAGTGTTTGTGTGTGAGAGAGGGAGAGGAAGAGAGAGATGTGGCTCCTTGGGGTGCATTTGGAGAAGTATCAAGAGAAATGCCAAAAGGCCAATCAGTTTGGGATTAAATTCTAAATGAAATTGGGTCTTCAGGGTAAGGAGACACGAAAAACTTTCAACTGCAGGTTTCTAAAAATCTTATTAAAATGAATGTGTAGAGGCAGCTCTTTAGCTCATTAGTCCAGAGGGAGCAAAAGAGATAGGATCCCAACAAGAGTCTATTTAGCTATTTAGCTCAGAGTTGAAGCTAAACTAACAGAGTTGAAAGGGACTTTGGAGCTTTTCTAGTCCAACCCCCTGCTCAGGCAGGAAAACTGAGGATGCCAAAATCCCAGTCTGAGCCTGGGAAAGATGGCAGAATAACATTTAGAGGAGGGGGAATGACCCTATATCATTTCAGAGAAATAATTGTCCAGTCTGGTCTTAAAAACTTCCAGTGATCGATCACCCAGAACTTCTGGAGACAAGCAGTTCCACTAGTTAATTGTTCTCACTGTCAGGAAGTTTCTCCTTAGTTTTAGTTTGCTTCTCTCTTTGTTCAGTTTCCATACATTGCCCCCCTTCTTTGTGGCAGCCTGTCAAAAGCCTGTTTTGTGACCTGCCTATCACATTCTTGGGCAAAGCATGTGAGCCATTTCCTCCTTTCAGTGGTCCATGAAAGTACATCTATAGTATGTGATGCAGATAATAAAGTCGAAAAAAGGTGAACAACATTTTTACAGAACTATAGATACTTTGAGGCCGGGTGTGACAAGGAGTGGCTGGAAGGAGAGGGGCTGGGCATGAGTGACGTTGAGTTGGTCACACCCACCCAGTCACATGACCACCCAGCCAGCCAGTCATTAGGTCAGAGAACCGGTTGTTAAAAAATTTGAATCCCACCATTGCCTATCGCCCATTGCACACTGGCAGGCAGAAGCTTCCATGGCTGCCACCCGAATATCTGGTGTCTATTTGTCCCATGCGACCAAAGGCTCGGGTCAAAGGGTTCTCGACAAATGGGCCAGGGCATGGGGCCAGAGGCCCATTGGCCGGGGGAATGGCCAGGGGAGGGCCAGCAGAGGAGGAAAGCTGGCTGTAAATGAGTTGAGGCGGAAGGCGAAGGAAGTGCAGCCAAGGGTGGGAGACTAAAAGTCCTAGATTGGGTGTCGGCAACCCATGGCTCCAGAGCCACATGCGGCTCTTTCATCCCTCTGCTGTGGCTCCCTTCCCTCCCAGGAATTCCTTCCGCCCCCCCCCAGGGGGGAGAGAGAAACAGAAAGTGTGGGGGGGGAGAGGAGAGAGAGAGACAGAAAGAGGGGGGGCAAGAGAGAAAGAGAGATAGGCAGAGAGAGAAAGAGGGAGGGAAAGTGGGGACGGAGAGAGAGAGAGAGAGACAAGGGACACAGAGACAGAGATACGTAGACAGAGCGAGAGAGACAATCAGGGTGGGAGTGAGTGAGTAATGTTGAGTTGGCCACACCCACCCAGGTTTTGTGGCTCCCAATGTTTTCTGTGGGAAACGGATCCAAATGGCTCTTTGAGTGTTTAAGGTTGCAGACCCCTGTCCTAGATCCTCGAGAAAATAGCTCAATACTCAGCACTCAGACAGTGCTCAGGCACAGACTGTAGAAGCTACTAATTAAATTCAAGAATGAAGTATGCAATGTCCCTTATTTCCTGCTGAGCTATTCCAGGCTTTCATTATGAAAAGTTTCTCAAAGCAAATTATTTGGTTAGCTGTAGTTCTTCTGTTATGAGTAGCCTAGAATTAATTCCTTTTTGTAGGGTTGGTATTAAACATGCAAAGACTCAAACTCCTTTCCTGATATGTATTTTTGTTGCTCTTCAATTTAGGATAGGTAAAATAATATTTTTCAATTTGTTCATTTTTCAGGAAATCGAAAGAATATCCAATATCCATGTCTAACTGTGCCAGACAGGAATGCAGCTTTCCACATAGAAGATAAATCATGTGTGCCACTGAATTATGGGAACACCATTTTCAAGCAGGACCGGTCCTCTCAAGGGCAAACATCTTTTAATATATTTTTAGACAGTGGAACATCAAATGCTTCCAACCTACAGAGGCTACAGAGAAGTCATGCTGGCCAAGAGCTAGCAGCAGCATCAGATAGCGAAGCAGCGCATGGGGAATCTCCCACCCAGATGAGCGAGGACTCACAAGAGCCTCTGCCCCAATGGCCGCTCCCTCAGGGACAGGAAAAGGCTGGTGCTCTTGGCTGGAGGCAGTCTCCTGGCAGGGATTGTGGGACAGTCTCACATGGGACTGCCAGACACAAAGGCTGTCAGAGTGGCTTTCTGATTTCCCAGCAAGCCAAGGTCCGAGGCCCAAAGCGTGTCGATATGCCCCCAGATGAAGACTGGCGACAGCACACCTTTGCTCCACAGCCTGCCACAAGAAGCTTCTTCATCCACTCTGGAAATGCCCTGTAAAACCCTGGCTTGTGCAGCAGTTACCTCCATGCACAGCCATGACAGAAAGATGGGACCCTCTGTTGGGCTGTTTCTTTTGAAAGAGGCTCTTGTCTAAACTGAAATGCAATTGATAATAAGATAGCAAGATTTTTTTTCAACCAGTTGCTGCCAGTTTTGTCTTTGAAATAGTTATATCATTGCCGAAAACTAACTGCACTTTATTTCTTTGTATGTACTGCTGTTTTATAAGAACCTTGTCAGCAATTCCATTCCTAACCTTTTGCTAGAAGAAATGGTTTAAGGCTCATTTGCAGTAGAAGAGAGGGCAAGATATGCATTTGGACTAAAATTAAATCCTCTGATGTTTTCTATAGGCTGTATTTGGTGAATTTATGTATCATGTTAAGTAGCACTAAGAAGCCTCTGTGCCAACTGTCAATTCAGTGTTATGTTCTTCTGCTCCATTATATGCTGGGGGGAAGATTTCAGACCTTTCTACAGAATTGGTCATGTTCATAGGCACAGATAACTCCGATGGGGGCTAGGGAGGGAGTGGTAAGAAGATGGCACCAGCCCATTTCCCATTTTTTTCAAAGTAGACTACTAGGATTTGAAGTAGCATGTTTAATAAACACAGAATCACTGTAACTATTTTAGGCTCTGACATACTTGCCTTTGTAATTTTTTTCAAAGAAATAAATGAAATAGTTATGTTTATTGAATGATTATTAATTGCTTTCCTATTTTCAGAAAGGTGTTTTCCAAATTGGAATAATTCTTTCACTGTTCATTTTTTCTCTTTGTGATATTAAATATTTTATGGGTTGACTTTTATAATAACTTATTTTGTGAATCTAGCTAAAGTAAGACAATTTGTGTGTTTTATAAGATTATGATTTACAATAGAACTGTTGTAAACATTGCAGACAAAATACACCACATTTAAAGGCCCTGTTAAGAAGTTAGTGTCCTCATCCTGATTTTCATTCTTTTTGTTTTAAAGTTCATATCTTTGTAAATCAGGAGATTTAGTTACAATTATTTAGTCAACTAAGGGCAACTATGTCCATGTTCTTGGATTGATATAGGAAATTTTCCTTATATTAATACTGCAGAAATTCAGAAGGGATATTTTGTAGATGGCAAATGAAAAAAACTTTTGATAGGATGTTTTAAGAAAGTAGAGTACATGAGTACAGATTAACAGAGTTGGAAGGGACCTTATAGGTCATCTAGTCCAACCCCCCCCACCCACCCCGCTCAAGCAGGAGACACTACACCATTTCTGACCAGTCTTTTCTTGAAAGTCTCAAAGCTTACTGAGCTTTATTACAATACAGTAAGCTCAGTAGATATATGGATTCTTGTCACTTGGATTGCAAGTTGCTCCAAAAGAATCAGAGAGTCAAGTCCTGTCACCTTAGCTAAAAGTTGCTACCTTTTCATGCTAACCAATTGGCCCACCCCCACCCCCACTTTATGTATTTCTAACCTTTAGAAAATGAAGCATTCCATAAGGCCATGAGGAATTTGGGGGAGGGGGGGCTTACAGTCCTAACTAAGTTGGTCTTCCAACAGAGATGATAAACTATTATTTATCTCCTCGTAGATGAGCAGGAATGAATATTATGGACTTAATGCATCCTGACAGCTACTCTACTGCAGGGTTCAGGAGAGACAAAATATATCACAAGTAAGTAGTTCTGGCCAGCACACATTAGTTTCTGATCCTTAAAATTCAAGGTAACAAACTATGACAACTTACTTCTTTAGCCTCCTGCAAGTATCCTTTCATTCCCTGTTGCCCAGGCCACCTATCATTTCTTTCCTCAGAACATTTCTTCTGCAAGGGCCTTTTTAAATTAGAGCTGGTTCCATCACTCAATTAATTTGAAATTCCCAAGTAGTAAGATAACTTTTCTTTCTCATCTCTAGCACTTTGGATGCTTTTTATCTTGCAATTTAAGGGGAGATGCTTACCCCCAAAGGATCATAGTTGTAGGTGATGTCAGGAAAGTGACAGCTCAAAATGAGCTGAAGGATAAAGGAGCTAAAGGATACTGCAAGGATAACATAATGTTCTATTTAAAACATGCTGAAAATACAAAGAATTAATATACTGTAGCAGCTGCTCAATGAAAAAGCCAAAGTGCTAACTAGTTGCAAAACTTCTCAACTCTTACCTTTGTGTAGCCTTCTCCAACAAATAAATTAGATTTTTCATTAGGCAGTGTGAAGAACAGGATGAAGGGGCAGAATTTAAACTGGAGATGGATAGAAATAAGATCGGGAAACACCTATTTTGAATGATGTCAGCCTCCGCTTTCACTGCTTCATCTGCCATAAGAAACGGGGGGGGGAGCGCAGGAGGTGTCTTTCAAGGAAACGAAACCTATTCTCCAAAGGAGCCGTTAGACCAACCGTCACACATTCCTGATGGATGACGTTGCCAGACGTGATTCCACCTGACCTTTGGGAGACCTTTGGATTGGATGATGGATGATGAACACAGGGTGGGGGGGGATGCTATCTAGATGCTATTTCGCGCGTTTTGCTCACTTCCAGCTTTACTTGGGTTGCGATCATTTCAAATTCAGTAAAAGTACTAATCTCTATAAAATATGGAGTTTGGGTCTTTCTTTCCTGGATTTTGAAGGAAGCATACCTGACATTAAGCTGGAAGTCCCTCCAGTTATCCCGGAAAATCCCGAGAGACTGAAATCTAAATTATGTCAGACCCAGGGAGTGACGAAGACCAGATGGGAGCAGCGAGTTCTGTGGCAGCTACCCTCCAAGCGGAGAGAGAAAGTGCAGAATGGTTGGAAAACCTCCAGCTGGAATCTGAAGAAGCCAGATGGTCGAAAGGAGTTGGGAGATTTCCAGACGGGGGGGAAACCCCCCGGGGAGTGACCAGCTCCAGACCCCATAAGAAAGAGGCAGTATGGATGCAGGAACAAAAGGAACGTCTCATGATGGCACAAGCCTTGCAGCTTATCCGTGATGTGGAAGAGAGCAAAAGGAAATGGGACTAAGACTAAAAACGCTTAAAAGACCCATTGCGTTCTGTCAGTTAGACGGATCGATTGCAGGAGGGGGCCCAGCTAGTTTTATGACCGAACCCCTGGAATTGCAGTTGGGTGACCATGTAGAGAATCTCAGATTTGTGGTGGCCCCTGGCATGGAAAGACCCCTTATACTTGGACTGCCCTGGCTTCGAAAATGGAACCCACGGGTAAATTGGAAGACGGGGGTCTTGCGCATCCACACGGCAAAACCAAACCCAGAGAAGGAAAATTTACCCTTGAAGGACAATATACAACCAGAAAGGGCGGAAGTAGCGATAGACTACATTGAAGGGCAGGAGAAGATTCCAAAAGAATATTGGGACCTCAGGGAAGTTTTTAGCGAAAGGGCCTCAGATGCGCTGCCTCCCCACCGGGCTACCGACTGCACCATTGAAATACTCCCCGGGGTGAAGCTTCCCAAACCAAAAATCTACCCCATGACCCCTTGAGAATTAGGGGAATTGCGAAACTTTATTGACAAAAACCTAGAACGGGGATTCATCGAACGAGCCAAACCCAAGGTGGCGGCGCCAGTAATGTTCCGCAAAAAGAAAGATGGCTCCTTCCGTTTGGTGGTCGACTATAGAAATATAAACGCTATTTGCGTGGAAAATGTTTACCCCCTCCCACTCATGAAGGACATGTTAGCCCATTTAGGGAAGGAAAAGGTCTTCACCAAACTTGATTTAAGAGAAGCGTACTACCGAGTGAGAATTAAAGAGGGGGATGAATGGAAAACAGCATTTAATTGCCCACTGGGATATTTCCAGTTCAGAATACTCCCTTTTGGGTTACAGGGAGCTCCTGCTGTAGTTGATGCAGTTGATCAACGAAGTATTGCATGAGCACCTGTATAAGGGGTGCTAGTCTACTTGGATGACAATCTTATCTACTCTGAGAACATGGCCGACCATGTCAAATTGGTGCGAACTGTCCTGAAAAAACTCAGGGCTGCTGAACTATATGCCAAACTTTCTAAATGTGAATTCCACCAAGACAAGATCGACTATCTTGGATATCGCATATCGCATGAGGGGATAGAGATGGATCCTGAAAAGGTTCGGGCAGTATTGGAATGGGCCGCACCACGCACCCGCAAACAATTACAGAGTTTCCTGGGGTTTGCTAATTTTTAAAGACAATTTATCCCCTCGTTTGCAAAAATTGCACTGCCAATTACAGACCTTCTAAAAACAAAAGGTGAAGTAAAACCCAGACCCTCGAAACCACTCGAATGGACTATGGACTGTCAAGCCGCCTTCGAAAAATTGAAACGGCTGTTTGCGGCTGAACCAGTACTCAAACACCCAGACATGGAACAGCCTTTTGTAGTACAAGCTGACGCCAGCGACGTAGCTGTGGGAGCAATACTCTTACAAAAGAATGAGAAAGGGGAACTACAACCTTGTGCTTATACGTCCCGTAAACTCTCAGAAACGGAAAGGAGATGGGCCATATGGGAGAAGGAGGCTTTCGCAGTGAGATGGGCGCTGTTAACCTGGAGACAATTTTTAGAAGGAGCGAAACACCCTTTCGAAGTTTGGACTGATCACAAAAATTTAGAGGCATTAAAAACTCCACGTAAATTGTCCCCAAAGCAAGCTCGTTGGGCCCAACATTTCAATCATTTCAATTTCACTCTACGTTACCTTCCTGGTGGAAAGAACTTCCTGATGGATGACGTTGCCAGACGTGATTCCACCTGACCTTTGGGAGACCTTTGGATTGGATGATGGATGATGAACACGGGGGAGGGGGGAATGCTATCTAGATGCTATTTCGCGTGTTTTGCTCACTTCCAGCTTTACCTGGGTTGCGATCATTTCAAATTCAGTAAAAGTTCTAATCTCTATAAAATATGGAGTTTGGGTCTTTCTTTCCTGGATTTTGAAGGAAGCATACCTGACAAATGATTTGAAATTCAAGGGCCCTGCAAACTGTATTCTGGGATACTGAAAGAAGCAGCGGATCAGCCAGTTGAGCCCTTGTTTTATTTGGGGGAGAAAAAACTGGAGAATTGATTTAAGTGCTTCATGTTCCTGTCTTCAAAGGCGGGCAGGGGGGATTATCCAGGAAATTACAGACTACTCCAATTGAGGCTGATAACAATCATCTAGAAAAGCTCCTAAAGAGATTCGTAAGCATCTTCGATAAGGCTAGCCTGACAAGATCTATGCAGACTTTGGGTAATCACCTACTGGCCATTAGAGGTTTTGACTGAGACGAAAAGAGTCAAAGAGATTCTTTGCTGAAAAGGTAAACATGTACAATCTATAAAGGAAGATTGGGCTATAATAATATAGTATTATTAATAGTATTAATAATAATTAATAGTATTAATAATATAGTATTAATTAATAGTATTAATGTAGAATGAATAAGTAAAAATAAAAAAGCAAGTTCTTATTGCAGTCTGAGGTTAATCTAATTTAGTGGTAGCCAAAACATTCCAGTACCAAATGAATTGAGCTCAATTTTAGCAACCCTATAAACATGTAATTTTAACAAAGCTTCTTTGACACATTTCCTTCCAAATGTTTATAGTCCAGTTTTATTCATTCTTTTTCCACATAGCATAAGCAATTATCTAACTTCCAGAATGCATTATACAAATCCTTTTTCAAACTCTCCCTTTCATTCACTTTATAAAAT